TGAATATGCTTTGTTGAGATCGGTGAAGTCAACACAGGTCCGCCATTTGCCGTGGGCTTATTTACTAGAACCGGGTTGGCAACCCAATTCGGATAGAGCGCTTCTCGAATGGATCCATTCTAAAGGAGATTATCTATCTCAAGTTTTAAGGCAGCGTATTGCTTCAGATCCATCGCTCTTCTCTTCTGGCGAACCGGCTTGGCTTCACTGTTAATGTTCAAGGCATGACAAATAACATTCGAGCTGATTCCCACCATATCTGCATGCAACCATGCGAACACATCAATATTCTCTCTGAGGAAGCCGGTCAGTTCGATGGTGAGCTAGGGGTCGAGATTGCTCCCAATCTTCAACACCCTACTCGGCTCGCTTTGGTCGACTGACACCTCAGATAGATCCTCAACTGGCCCACTGGAAGGGCATTCCTGAATACAAGGATCCATATTATCCTCGGTCGGGTCAAGCTGTGGTTTGATCTGGCTGATTGCCATTGCCTATCGGGGAATGCCGCGCGGGATGCCTTTCTCTTTGCATGCCATCTATACTGCCCTTACATAACAGTTGGAAGATGAGTACTAAAATCCACTTACTTCCCCTATCCCCGTCGGGGGGGAGGGGGGGGGGGGGGAACTTCATCCTGAGATGGTATATCGAAGTGACGGTCTTGAAGTTTCTTAGTAGAGGTCACCAAGGATACCATTAAAAACGGATGGGCAATCCACTACTAAGAATTCAGTTATTTTGGTCACCTCATCAGAGTCACCCAACGTGATTGGAAGCGACATCGTTCCTTTGGGGATTAGGTGGTCCCTTATAAAACCATATAGGGGGATCGAGGTGGGCTTCAGGTCGGCCTTGTCTAAATTCATTCTTTCGAAAGCTGTTTGGAACAGGATGTTCACAGCACTTCCGTTGTCCACCAACATTCTGTGGACATCGAAGCGCCCTATTTGGGGTGTCATGACAAGAGCATCATCATGGGGATGGTGCAATCGAACTGCGTCCTTTTTGGAGAAGGTGATTTCCTCCTCCCAGCGAACCTTTGTTGGTCGTTGCGTCGTGTTCATCACACTGATGGGGTCGTGATGGGCTACGCGAGCATATCTTTCCTGGGCAACTCACAAATTTCCCGCCAAGTGCGGTCCTCCAAAGATTACTCCGACGCTGCAAATACTTTTGCGATCACGATGCTTTTTTCTTGGTTCTTCTTGATTTTTCTCCCTCACGGGAGCAGAGTCATCAACGTACTCTTTGAAATGCCCCTGCTTGATAAGGTTCTCGATTGCCTGCTTGAGACCTCGACACTCATCAGTGTGATGCCCATTGTCCCGATGATAACGACAGTATTTTTTGTTGTTTCTAGATGAAGAGTGACCTTTCATGGCCTCGGGCTCTCCAAGCAGACTGGCCTCTTCTGACTTGTCGAGGATGGCCAAGACAGATGTATTTAAAGAGGTATGTTGACTCTTGTCGCTATCGCGACGAGGAACCGAAGCATAAGACTTTTTGGGCTCGAACCGCGATTTCTTTCCTTTTCATTGATCGTCATTAACCCATCTGCGATTAACCCTCCTATTTTCCCCCTGACTAGGTGCACTACCTGAAGTGTCGGGGTCATGGCGGTAGAGCGCTGCCACAGAGTTTTCAATAAGGAGGTATTTCTCCACAAGGCTGTAGAAGCGGGTGAGGTAAACAGTATCCTCAGCCTGTAGTTCTTTCCACAGGTTGGTTTGTGGGGAACTCCCGCGATGATGAGAGTCCGAACAGACTCTTCGAGAGTGTGAGCTACCTTTTGAAGCTCTTTGTGGAATCGGTCGATGTAAGACTGGAGGGATTCATCCCTCTCTTGCCTTATGTTACTGAGGTAGCTTAAAGGCATTGAGAACTTCCTGTTCACTTAGAAGTGTCTTAGGAACGTCGTGCTCATCTAAGGCCATGAACTGATTGATCTCGCTGGGAGTGACTTGAACCACCGTTTGGCATGAGAGGTTAGAGTTACTGTCAAACGACACTTCACCAAGTCTGAAACCTGGTGAAGCTCCATCAAGTCATTGAATTCATACAAGTGATCCTGTGGATAAGAATTTTCATCGAATGCCCGCATATTGGGCATTCTAAATCTTGATGGGAGAGGGGCGGCTAATACCGTCGGAGAAAAGAGGGATGCCTCTGCAACCTGCCCTTGCTCATTTTGCTGAGCCTTTAACTGATCCAGAGCTCATTGCAGCTCTTCGATCTGAGGTAGTGGCGTTGTGCGTGGATTACTTTCCGCAATGTGGGTTCGACCCTTACAGTTACGGTTGAGGAATGACTGTAGGTCAGATTCCTCCTCGCCTCTGCCGGCAGTTCCGACTAATCTCGACACATGCTGGCTAGAGTCATGTGATGGCGATAAATGATGCAGGGAATTTTCATGACCTCCGTGGTGGTACGAACTGCCCCGCGAAGTGTGGGAACCTCCTACACGATGACGATCGAGATTGACATTCTGGTGGTCATAAGAATCACCTCGCCCAGCACTTTTGTAGGAGTGCTTGTGCTATGTGGCATGGGACAGCTCGGGATGAGACCTGCCATCGAGCCTTAATGCCACGGGTATTCTACCCAGGACGTGGTCGATGTTTGCCAGTCCTTTAGAGCCCTTGGGCCTACTATTCGCCACTTGCTTACCCTTCCTTTGACGTGCAGCATGGGCTATCACCCTTTTCTGCGCTTTCATATGACCTGCAGGCATTTTTGGCAGTTGCACCTCCCTATTTGATTCAGGTGGCATGGCCCGGTCCAAACGGTCCAGCCTTTGGCTGACTGTTTGGAGAGTATTATTGAACCTCTCCAGGTAGTTCATAACGGTTGGGTCAAGTTGTGAGCTTGAAAGAATATCCCCCACGGCATTGTGGAACTGAGGGCACCTTGGGAGAAGTGTCCTCTTGTACCTGGGGGATCTTCTCATCACCATGATTGGTTTGCTCAGATTCGAATCGGCAAGCCATTTCCTGTTGTAGGACCAGTTAGTCAGAGATTCTCCTGATAAAGGACGAATACTAAATCAGACCCTCCTTTTAGCACCAAACTGTTGATGCGTGATTTTGACACCAACTAAACGTACGTGTGAAGTGCTTAGCTGGCCCAAAAGACACACGCGGATGGGGGTAATGAAATAAGTAAGAGGTGGAGAAACAATGTTTTAAAGTGGTTCGGATGCTTAAGCAATCGACTCCTATGTCCACTGATATTGTATTAATATGGAGGGTCAGGTCGTGTTCAGCAAGCTGACTTGCAAGTGATTACAAGAGAGAGAATAAGCTATTACAGAGAGAAATTAGCTATTACAGAGTAAAATAAGCCAATCCCACAAACGGGAGAGAAGCACTCTATTTATAGTAGGATGAATTGGAGTAATGATTACAAAATCCGTAAAAAGGGGGCAGATATCGTGCAAATCCTTCTTTGCGTCCCGTTGCTCACCCACTTGAGTGTTCCTCATTCAGCGCAGGGGTTGGACACGTGGACGGCCTCCAGCCTTTCGTCAATCTGGCACGCACCCATAACACTGGCAGGAGCATGCTACTCACGCCAGCATGTGATGTGACTGCGTCTGAATGGCTGTAGGATTTGCCTAGACTTTGATCATTTACGCTAACCGGGCTCTGCGTCAGCCCTACTTTTTCAGGCATAACATGAATGAAGGTGAAAAAGAAGATGAATGAAGTTGGATTTTTGAAGCCGAAAGAAAAAAAAAAACATATTAGTTTGACTAGTTCTATGTCCAGTCCGGTTTGACCGTCGATCTGCTACTGTTAAGCAGAGAGTTAGGACTTAGGACTTAGGATTGAATGAAAAAATCCCAAATGGGTTTGAGTTTTTGTTTGAGCTTTGAAATGGGTTTATCGTTTTTGGTCTGTGAATGGGTCATGGGTGTTGTTTGTAATTTTGACAACTTAAAAATAAAACAACTTTTGAAATCTTGCAAATTGGCCCTTGCGAGCTCGACGAGCCGATCTCATATTGGATTGGATTCGGCTCGCTAATGTTCACGAGCTGCTCGAGCTCGAGCTCGACTCAACTGGTTTCAAGTTGAACTCGAGCTTACGATGAGCCGAGCTCGAGTAGCTCGCAAGCTACTCAGCTCGTGTCTTATCCCTACTTCCACCTGTGGTTGAACTGGTTTTTTTCCAACGAACCACCGGTATAACCCAGGTTGCTACAATAAAATATTAAAAAATAATAAAATTAAAATTAACCCTTTTTAGCTTTTTTCTTCTCCCTTCCCCATTTTTATTCGACAAAACCAGCCTAGCAAAGAAGAAAAATTAAAAAAAAAAAGAAAAAAACCCATTAAAAATTAAAATCTGCATTTTTTTTAAATGTGTTTTTTTGCTGATGTCACGCTGATGTCAGCATGATGATGTCACGGTCCAACTCACCGGTCGGACTGTATGACTCGTAAAACCCGTGACCTGATAGCTTGGCCGGGTTGTCCCTCAGGTTGGGTTTTAAAACCTTGCCCAAGATTTCTAGTGAACCGCCAAGCCATCCAGTAATGGTTTATGATTCTCTAATGGCTAGAAAAAATTAACTTAATTGAAATATTAATTATTAATAATTGATTTATAATAATTAATGATAAAATATTACTTACCTAGTCTTTGTAACTTCTGATAAGCGGTTTATAATAAATTAAAAGTAATATAATGCTACACATATAAATCATTCCCAGCAAATATATGCAATAATCTTACATCTCAATTCTCATATATAATTCATTAATTTTGTTTTAATATAAAATTATCTAATTAAGAAGGAAATATTTCGGGAAAGAAATAATAAGAGTAATGAAGATCACATTGCATGAAAAAGAATAAGAAATTAAAATGATGAACACCTTGTTTCTCCATATATATCATTCATTAATTATTTATACACACAATTAATTTTCCTTAATTCTACATCAATCTATGCTATATATCTCCCTTTCAAAAACAGAAGCAAAAATCATTCATTCATCGTCGTACGCAAACGGGTTCTTCTGCTATGGTCTCCAACAATGGCTTCTTCGACCTCGACATGGACAATCTACGCATAAGCATAAACTCCGGCTTCGAAAACTCCTCAACATCATCCAAATTCGGCTTCGGTACCGCCGTCTCTTCATCAATCTTATTATTCATTACCTCCCCACCCTGATCCGCCGGAGAAATCCTCACTTTCCCAGAAGAACTCCGCTTGGCAGCCATAAACAAAGTGCCCATGTCCCCGGACGTCACCTTGGAGTTCACTTTCTTCATCGGAAACATAACGTACACGTTTCTCGCTTCTAGGTCTTCATCCGCGCTGAGAGGAGAAAACCTCCGCCCTATTTTCAGAGACTGAGAGTTTACAAGGAAGAAGTTCGGCATCTCCAGCATGAGCTCCGCCGCTTTTGTGGGCGTTAGGATTTGTTTGACTTCTCCGCCTGGAAACACAACTTTTACCGATCTTGATTGCCTGGCCAATGGAGTCGAAAGCGTGCATGAAACGTAATTTCCCATGACTGAAGTATGAGAGTTGAATTGAGAGGAAGAAGGAAGAAGAAGAAGAAGGAAGTTATTGATAATTAATGTGAGAGTTGAATGGAGAAGTTTAGTTATGGGAGGGAGAAGGGGGGTTTGAGAGAAATATATAGAAAGGAGAAAAGGAGAGGTTGAAGAAGATTCTAAGGGGGAGGCAGTTGGATGAAGGAGGGGTTGAGTTGACACTTGACAATGGAGCTGAGCTGAGTCCGCGACTCCGCGTTTCAAGAAATGGAATGGAAAAGCAACGAAGAGGTCTGACTGTTGTATTAATTAATTAATTAATTAATCAATTAATATATTATTTTGTTAAATTACGTGTGGGTCCTTTTCAATTACATGGCCACTGGCCAGATGGCCTTTGTTGTTGAAAATTAGCCTGAAGCTCTTTTGCCCAGCCAAGTAATTAACGAGATATTATTATAAACTCTTGAGAAATTTTCAACTCGTGGACAAAAATTACTGTGTTTATATATTTTATAATAGAGTAAGCGACTTTTCACTACCCAAGGTTTGCCTTGGGTACCCTTTCCACCCAAAAAGTTTCAAAATATTATTTTTTCACTCAAAGTTTATATTCCCTTAATAATTAAAATACACTTTACTTTCTCAGTTGATGTTCGACGAGTTATTAGGAGTCAAGGTAAAAGGAGTTTTGTAGAGCAGAGATCGGTGGATCGAATGGTGATGACCGATTGAATATTCGCCACCAGAATCAGCCGAAAATCAATTAAAAACAGAAAACTCTAGTTTTGCTATGATTGACAAGCGACAAAAAATTAGGTCCCAAACTGAGAAGGGTCTTATAGAGAAGAGATTGAAGGTTCAAATAGTGATGACAGAGAGAATTTTTGCCACTGGAATTGGTTGTCAGCTTTGGGTATTAATAGAATATAAACGTGGGGTGAGAAAGTAGTAGTTTAAATTTTTTAGGGTGGAAAGTTCATTAAGGTAAACCTTGGGTGAAAAAAAATCGTTCAGTCTTTATAATAATAGAAAGAATTGTGTTTAGGAAGCATCAGGCATGTGGAATTGACTTTTAATGAAATGGTCAGCTTTCCCTTTGCGTAATAGAAATTCGTAATTATATATGTTGCCAATAAAAGAGGAAGGAAGGGCAGTGGCGGTGGCGGTGTCGCTGTCGGTTCACGCTGAGGGGCAGCTCATCATATGCTGCTGCGTCACGGGATGGTTGGTGCCACTCCCAAGCAACATCCTTCGATTAAATTTCTGAGCATTTTATAATTCTTCAAACACAAAAATAAATAATTAATAATAGTTCTATGATTTGATGAGAAGCTGCTTTCCCACCTCATCTGGGCTAGGCCTAATTGGATATTGGATTACATCTCATTCATGCTTGAGTGCACTCACTGGCAAAGCAGGGTTTATTTTATTTATTTATATTCTGTTTTTTTTCTTAAATTTTTATATGATTATTGGAGTCCGTACGGGGTTGGGTGCTATTATTTTAAATTAAATTGGTTGTTTTAAGTACTCCTCTTAAAATATTAAAGGATACGTTTAGTTTATTATTTTGGATATAATTTTGGGAATAATATTAGGTAGTTAGATAAGGGAGTATTACGAGGTAAAATATAAAAATTTATGAAAAAGCCCCTTAGTTTGCTAATTTAATTAAATACCTTAATATATGAAATGACAAAAACACCCCCACCACCTGCAGTGCCAGATTCTGACCACCACTGTAGGAATCTGGCCGAAAAATCGCTTTATAACACAGACCGATCGGATCTGTGTCGTAACGCGTCCTTATGACATTTTTCGGCCAGATCTACGGCCTGTTGTGGCCACGACGGCCAGAAAAGGCCAAAAGATATGGCCGTCATTTTCGGTCAACGATGGCCAAGATTTGGCCGTCATTGACCTCAACGACGACCATTTCTTTGGTCGTCGTTCACGGCCAGATCTGGCCTTTTCCGGCCAGATCCGTGGTGGATCTGGTCGGAAAAGGCCAGCTCGGTAAACTTCCGACCATTTCTGGTCAACAGGTAGGCCGTTGTATAGATTTCGACTACCACCGACGGTGGTTGTCGGAATTTGGCAAGTATGGGTCGCGGGGGTATTTTTGATAATTTTTAAACTTTTTTTCAGGGTGTATTTAATGAAATTAATAACCTTATAAGGTCTAAAAGTAATTAAAAAAATAGGGTAATATTTCTTGAATAATGTATCAAACATTATTTAGAGAATAGGATTGAGAATATGAGTAGAAATAATAAGCCAAACATGCCCAAAAATCCCCATGATTGAACGGAGTTTTCAATAATTATATGGAAATTTTAATAATATTCGAAAACTTTGAAGATATTTAAAATTAGACTGATAGGTTGTCATTTCACTATATTTTAAAGTTATTTTTTTATTTATCATATTTAAAAAACTGGTGCTGAATTGATAATCTTGTGGTNAGGGAGGTATATGTAGAGATGGGTGCGCATTGGGACAGTTTTTGGTGGGAAAATTGGCGGTTATATCTATGACTACAAGGTTTGATGTTAACGAACATTACATATAATAGTAAGAGTAAACCACATATTCCCACCCAAGGTTTGACGATATCCAAGGTGAGTACCACAGGTTCCATTTATTCCATATTCCCACCCTTAAAGTAACAGTGTTATGAACTTTTAGGGTTTAGGATGTGCAATTACCATAATGCCCTTAACCCTAAATTAATAAATTATGTTTTAACCCCTAATTTATTAGAATTATAAAACTTACCATTTTATTTTCAAATTATATCAAAAACACCCTCGGTCATTACACACCCTCATCGGAAACAGCCCAGATCCTCATCGGAAACAGCCCGATCTGGGCTGTTTCCGATGACATCGAACGTCCTGGTCACTCCATCACCTTCCCCGTATTCCGTCGTCCAAAACCCCTCTAATTCCCGACTCATTTGCCCCTCCAATCGCCGGCACCGTTAGACTTACGGTTTTGATGTTCTTCACTGGATTCCGGTAGATTCCGGCGGTGAAAATCCAATTGGACACTACCAATGAAACCACCGTATCCAGATCTATAAAATCCCCATGTCCCCAGCAGCCGTCTCGTCGTCATTCACCGGCCGAGAGTTCGTGTTCTTCGGCCGTTTTTCGATGAAGCGGTGGACGGCAAACGGTGAGTTGTCATGGCTGGAAAGCTTAGGGGTTTTGTAGGGGAGGATTGGAGGAGTCAAATGGTGGTGACACGGGTGATTTTGGGTGAAAAAATCGCCAGAAAAAGAGCGAAAAAGTTTACGGCGGTGGTTTGCTAACGTGCGCAGGAGGACTGTTAAAGGCGATAGTCTGCTAACGTGCGTCGCCCATGTAAAATGACCAATTTACCCCTTTACCGTTATATCAAATGTTTTTCCGTCACTTTAAGGGTGGGAATCTGGAATAAATGGAACCTGTGGTACTCACTTAGGATTTCGTCAAACCTTGGGTGGCAATATGTCGTTACTCTAATAATAATAATAATAATAATTTAATGCAATTCAATCGTTTAAAAGTCACTTAAACTAACCTTAAAATATCTCTAATTGTAATTTCNTAAAATTAGACTGATAGGTTGTCATTTCACTATATTTTAAAGTTATTTTTTTATTTATCATATTTAAAAAACTGGTGCTGAATTGATAATCTTGTGGTAGTAATAAGTAAGTAAATCTGAAACCAGAATTTATGGAAAAATACAGAGGAGGTCAAATTAATTTTATAATCACAAGAAATCTGTTTAAGTTACACCAAGAGATAATTGAGATTATACCGAAATTAGTGATTGTTTAGGCCCAAACACAAAAGTTAGGTCATACCAACCAACCAACTCTTTCTATTTGGCAATCACCCAATAAAAATATCTATATTTATTTAAGGTATATTTGAAGAATATTAGTGATTTATAAAACTAAAATAGTAATATTTTGATGCCAAAAATAATGTTTTAAAATAAAATAATTACCAAACCAAAGTCGTAAGTTATCCCCAATACGTGAGTTAGAAAGAATAAAGTAAAAGACCAAAAGTGGGTATTTTATTTGAAGGGGGTTTGGTTAAAATCAATTAAACCAAAAGTTAATTTCTTAATTAGGTAAGGTAATTGACACAAGCTCCTTTTGACTTTATCTAAGGGTGGCGAAATTGACTTGTACAAACCATACATTTAGATATATAGCGCACACAAGTTTGACTGCTTAATCAAAGAGTAAACGACATTTTCCCACTTTAAGTTTGCCTTAATGACACTTTCCCACTTAAAAAATTTCAAAATACTATATTTTCATCCAAAGTTTATATTTCGTTACTATCCAAAGCCGATTTTGGCTACGAAAATTCTCTCTAGCACTACCATTTAAACCTCCGGTCTCCTCTCTACAAAATCCTTCTTATTCCGACACCTGATTTCTCACCGATTGATGACCATTATAAATTTAGGATTTTCTGTTCTTAGCTGATTTCCAGCTGATTTTAATGGCAAATATTCAATAGGTCGTCACCATTCGGTCCACCGGCATCTACTCTACAAAACCCCTCTTACCTTGACTTTTGGTAACTCGTCGTATACCGACTGAGAAAGTAAAGTGTATTTTGGGTATTAATGGAATATAAACTTTGGGTGGAAAAGTAGTATTTCGAAACTTTTTTTGATGGAAAAATATCATTAAGGCAAACCTTGAGTGGGAAAATATTGTCTACTCCTTAAACAAATGTACAAACAATTAATATACCCAAAACCAAAAAGGGATTAAAACTTATTTAATAATACAAAGGTAAAATTAACTTTGCATGAGTTGAGCGTCAAAACCGTTTGTTTGGCTGGATAAGTCCATAAAATTAGGTCAAAAAGTATGTTAAGCATTGAAATTCTATGTTAAGGAGTAAAACTATAAAGGGTGCTGCTAATCTGTGCTGCTGTGCACCCTCGTGTAGTTAAGACCCATTTTTTTCAAACGAGATTTTCAGAAAGGCTAGATACAAGATACCAAGTCTTCCATTTATGTTATGTACTGCAAGTTTTATTATTATCCACCAATTTCAACATCCAAGCTCACTAGTAGAAAGCAAGTTCAGGATATTACTGTAACTTTTACTCACAATATCATGAGATTTTTAACTTACTGTTGCAGTATTTGTGCATATATATGCACATTCACATTGCATAATGCACTCAACACACAGGACATGCAGGTTTCCCCACACCTGCTGAGACTTCTTCCAGGATTTCTATGACGGCTGCAAATGATGGCCTTTCCGATGGATCTTTACTTGTGCAATACTGTATCAATCTACAGAGAGTAGACACTATAAGTGATCAATACTTGAAAATCATATGCAAGTGTAACATAGTGAATAGTTATTTAAGGCTTCATAGGAAATAAAAAGAGAACTATCCAAGAAAACGGAAAACATGCCATTAACATAGAATTTGAGATGAAAATGATATTCACTTACTCTTGAATTCTTTTAGGGCATCGACTTAGCTGAAATTTTGGTTCAAAATGCATGAACTCAGATATTGTGTTGGTCTCCTCGTGATTTCCTTCTAGCATCTATCATATTTCAAATTCAAGAAGTTAAGGTTCTGTTAAGTGATTAGAAACTACAATAACATAACAGTTTGTACAATTTCCAAACTTCATTGGTTTGCCACTGTTGGCAATTAAGATTCAGTTGAAACTTTTTATTTAAATATTGATTTTAGGTGCACATTTATTTGATGCAGCTTGTTCTTCTTTATAACAGTAAACACTTAAGGTACTCAGTAGTTTGCATGAATTTATACACGAAGAATGTATTTATGATCATCAACGAACGACACCAGTGGTATGTCTCTATCAAGAAACTTTATACGTGGAATAGTAAACAATTTTGTCCATGTTATGAGTAAATTAGTGGCTGATCTCAAAAGAATGATGCTAGACGATAAATAATGCAGTGGTTATGGATTAGGATTCTTAGGAGTTGAGTTTTGATTGGCTACTGTTTTGCTAGTTGACATCAATGATGAATCGAAAATGAATTTGTAAAACTTAATATAGTTTTCTAAACATTGCATTTGATTGTAAGATACAACCACACATTTCTCTTTATAGGAGCCTTCAGCCTTGAGAATTCATAATAGAAGTTTTGAAAGCAAGTCATGGAAGCCATATTATGTGAGCCATCATATCCAAATATATACCTGATACAATATGCAGCCAAATGAGTGGATATCTTTCTTGGTGTCATCAGACAGGTTGATAGGAATGCTAGAATTATCATTTCTTTGGCCTGTGATACAAAATATATTCATCAGATTAAAAACCATTGTTGAAAGAATAGAGTTAACATTAGGGTAATGATACACACTTTTGTCTTGATTAGGGTGCCTTTGTTTATACAAAATTTGAAGCCAATACTCTCCAATCTTCCATTGGTCACCTTCATCTTGCAACAAATTTCTGTATACACAAAATACGAAACAACTTCATAAGATTATTATCTGTTAGTGCACAACCATTCTCAACTGAATGAAAGTAATCAGCATGCTCAAAACTAGGTGAAACATGACAGCAGAACACGGTGAGAAACAGTTAAGTCCCAAAAGCTTAGACTAACAAGATACCAAACTATAATTTTTAAGCCCTAACATACATCATCACATGCAAGGCTAGGTGTTAATGTTAACGTGCTGTAATTTCCAAGTCACCGCAGTTTTTATTTTTAACTTGAGTTGTGTTAGATAAACTAATATTAAGTTGTGTGATGTAGATTAAACCAGTTTTAGAACTGTTATCGGTTATTAGAACAAGTATAAAAAGGTGGTCTTTTTTTTGTTTTTTTGTAAAAGAATGAGATGCATCAGAAAACAACGTTCTGCAAACAAAGCTGAAAAACAAAATCTGCAGTGTCTTTCGCTCTCATTTTACTAGGTTTACAATTTGACTAATAGAACAAGAGATTTTTTTTTCCAGTATTTGAACACAAGCCCTGTATGAACTTTTTTCTTCCTTTGCTACTATGCTTAGAAGCCATTATGTCCAAGAAATTAAGCTAATGCGTAAGCAATAATACTTAAGCACAACATTCTTCAAACCAGCAAGCTAGATTTATCTTTATATTAATGTTATATTCACTACATATTTTCATATTTTTTAGGATCAAGGCAATCCATAATCATTTTTAAGGATTCTTTGGGGACAATCATATCATAACATCGGTCATCTTAATCAACATGCTCATTTAACTTATGGATACCAAAGGCAGAGAGAGATTTATGTAGAAAAATGAAACTACTCCAGTCCAGCTGTGTTAAACTAACATACAGGTGAGTTATAATATTAACTCTAATTTTACAATCCCTTTCAAAGCCAATTAGCTGAATGTTAAGTATCAAAACTTACTTGGTATTCAAATAATTGTGAACTATGGGTGAGGGTTTGTGCTCATGAAGATAATTCATGCCTCTGCCAATTGATTTAGAATTAAGAGTGCGTTAGTATCTATTTTTACCGGGGAAAGAAAATAAGCCAGAAATGTGGTCCTTAAGAACTACAATATTTGGAAAATCAAAACAGCGTTAAATCTGGAAACTTATGCAGTTATACAAGCATATATATACACAGACATAGATTTAAAAAATTTTCCTCATACAGAATATACAAAAAACTGATAGATAGATACCAGTTTCTCTAATAAAGGGACCAAAAACTGACTCTTCAATGGTATGAACAACAAATAGTTGAGATGCCATTGGACAAATAATGGGCACATGAAAAAGAAATGAAATTGAAAATGAAGTAACATCAGTGATAACACAAGAAAATCCATTGTTGAAAAGCTCCCATCTCTACTAAAAGGCTCATACTTATTTGGGTATCTTAAAATGAGAGAGAAAGAGAGCGGAGAAATAAACAGAAAAATGAAAGCTTGAAGAATGTAAACCACCAAACTGCAGTGCATAATATGACAAAAGAAATTACAGTAAAATGGTACTGAGAGAAGTCCTTTGTTAGTAACTATTTAGTTGGAAAGAACAGAAAATTTGAGATCATTTTATATCAAAATTTTCCAAACTCTAGATGCTACACTTATTAAATTTAGAAAGAGAACATCTGATATGCAACTGCTAATGAAATCCTCTTTATTTGCCAACCAGAGCCATTTCCCTACAGAAAACAAGTGAAGCAAATGTACATTACCTAGCAATATCAAGTGCATACCGCAGGGCGATGTGAAGTTCAAGTCGAACTTTCTTGGACAAGATATAATCCAAGCTTCCCTGAATATAAGCATCAAATTTAATAAGATTAAATTAACCTTTGAAAGACGGACTGATCATGGAAAATAGCCCTCCCCTTTTGCATTCTTGACGTAGAAGTACTACAAAATACAAGAATAATTAATTCTGCATTACAGGTAGAGGAAAGTATGCATTGAAATGTATGTCCATTGCATTGTTTGCATTACAAAAAACAGTTTTCCCTTAGGAATTTAAATACTATTACAAAAGGGAGAGCCAGGTTAGCTGGCCTTTTTTCTTTTGCTTGTCAGTATTCTCTTAGATTTGGTTCCACCTTTCTTTTCTGGTTTGCTAAAGTAAAAGTTACATGATTGGATAGACTACACATGCTTACAGATGTAAAATTTAGCAATTGTAACTTAGCTGCAAGTTCATCCTCTTCTAATTGATGCCACACTGTTTCAAAATGAAACTTAGCATTTCTTAGAAGCTTGTAAGCATTATAGTTCTCTTATTGTAAATGACACACTTACTCCAATGACATCTCAGTGCAACTTGACATAAATACAAGCCTTAAGAGGCTTGGATTTTCACCAAAGAGATATTTACAATCTAGAAACAAGTTACACCAAAAGGCATTATTATGATGGAAAACTTTACCATAGTCATTCTAGTAAACAGGATAATAATTCTGTCTTCAAATCTTATAAAATACAAACTATGTATTTTTGTGATTTTGTTGAAGCTTCAAACTGCAAACCGCATGCATGGTAATATTTCCTTATTTCTGCTCGGTGCATCTAAGTTTCGTGTTAGGCATATCATGTGCTTGAGAAAATTTTTGGACTTCTAAGCCAAGTTGTAAGGAATACTAAGCTATTAGCAGCAATAAAAATTATAATCAACCCCATCAAGTTGTTATTAAAAAAAAAAAAAAAAAGTTCAGATATTTGTAATAAGAAATACTTTTGGCAGGTACTCTGTTATCAGAATTATCTCCTCTCCGCAAACAATTGAACCAAGAAACTGCAAGATATTGGGATGTCGGAGTTCCTGTAACAATGTATTAACCTTGGCAGACAGCATCCTGCAATATGCTTGAAAAGGAAACATTCCATCAGGCACCACTTTACCAAATTGTTAAGGACAT